GCTCATCTTCTGACACGCACATCTTTGATCTTTATTGTAGTATCTTGTTTGATTATTATGTAGTCTATTATCGATTTCAGCTTTCGTGTTTCTTGCGTCAATGTATATTTATGAATATTTTTATTTCTGAAGAATCCGTTGGTAATTTTCAGGTTGTTTAGTTCGCATAGTTTAATCAGACGTTCTCCGTTATCGTTTTCTTCATCCTCTTTTAATCCCCCTACTACTTTATCGTTTTCTTTTCTTCCGGTTCTGCCCTTATAATCTCCTGTTATAAGTATCTCCACGGTATTCTTAATAAGCTCTATTTGATGTTGAAGTTGTTCCGTGAAATGTTCTTTTTCTACTCTCGGGGAATTGTCTGTTGGTGCATATACTCCGAGTATCACTGTCTCTTTACCATATATGTCTATATTCATTTTAATTATTCTTTCGTTGAGGGTTCCTATATTCTAATATTCTAATCCTGTTCTTAGACTTATTTTTGATTAGTATTTCCACTCCTGCCATTGCTCTACATTCTTTATTAACTCCATTCCAGCAGTGGAAGATGGTAGATGTATAAATTGTGGGTATGCAATAACTCCAACTTGTAATTATCAAATAGTGATAAATTGATTTAGTCTCTGTTTTGGCAGAAAAATTGTGATGTCAAAATATATTAAAAATTAAAACACTTAAAGACACTTCGAGACAATCAAAAAGACAAAACAAACATTTAATTTAAAATGGGGGTACTTAGTGGTACTACATCACTTATAGGAGGGGAACTAGTAAAAAAAGTTGGTATGCGAAACCGGTCGTTGGTGGTAGAATTAAATAGATTGTGAGTAAACCTTATTTTATTTTTTTTACCTATTTGAAATGGACTCACATAGGCAACACATTTAAGATGGCTCATTTAGTGGATGGTCCGGAAATCTCTACAGAATAGGTTTTTGTTTTATTTGGTAAGACAATAAACGTCGATTTTAGCCATATTTCTTCAGTTTTACGAGTTAAGCGTATGCATTGATGAGTAGAGTATGGGTCGGTTGGGTCACCCCCCTCCACTACCACTTTAACGTCACAAGAAATCGGCTGACTTTTAACGTCTAAACGGCTTAACGTACAACAACGTGTAAGGTATCTTCGGAAAGGAAAGGAGATAAAGAATACGTTAACACAAAAAACAAACATCGTGGCGTATTGCCAAAGGGACACTAAGCTTGTAACGTCTAAACGGCTCAACGTATAACAACGTGCAAGGTATCGGTGAAAAGGGAGGTGGTAACGAACATGTTAAAACAAAAAGCAAACGCAAAAGACAATGCCAAAACGGCACTATATCGTATCTCTGTTGTTATTAGTCAGATTACTACGTGTAACACGTTAAATGAAAGAGGAGGATATTGAATACATTAACGCAACAAACAAAGACAAAGACATGGACAAAACGGCACTATACCGTATCTCCGTTTCTATTGGTCCGATCGTCTGATCCGAGAAAGTTTGCACGCTACGTGCGCATTGAGTGAGCGGCCAATGCCGATCCCTAAAGTCACATAATTTTTTGTCTATTATATATTTTACGTTGCCAATGTACAGAAAACTTTCCCAAGTCTTATATTTTAATTCTGTGTTAATACAAATTATAAATTCAAGACTGTATTACTTAAATTATTCAAGTTAAGAGAAAAATAATAAATTCTCGCGATAAAATGTTTAAAAGTTTGCCATTTCTCTTAAATATAATTGTACAATTTGGGGGAGTTTGATTTTAATTGGAGTATTTTAAAAATCATACAATAAAATTTTCAAAAGGAAATATTTATAGAGATCGAAGTTACAGCAAGTTAAATTTGAAAAATCATTCAAGTTTATTGCTTGCATTTTGTCTAGAATTTTATTTTTGAATATGTTCCGTCAATTCCACACCAAAATAAAATTCATATCCAGATGCAGTGACCTCGAAAATATTAAGAATAGCCAAAATTAACCATTTACTCATTGTGGCGCTTTTTCGATTTCTAAGCCTCCAATTAGAGGTGGCCCACTCGCCTAAAAGGCAAAAATGATTGAAGCAATGAAAATATTAATGACAATCTAGGCTACTTTTAACGATAGGTAAGTAAGTAATCTAGGTAAAGCATACAAGGAATACTTATGTTATTTTAATGGACATTGTATTTTATTTTTGAGTTTAATTCGTCAAATTAGTATTATTATAATGCATCATCATCATAATCATCAACCTGTATGCGTTCACTGCTGGACATAGGTCTCTCTCAGCTCTTTCCATCTGTCTGCCTATTGTGCTGCGTAGATCCAGTTATTGCTAACACGCTTCAGGTCGTCAGTCCATCTAGTTAGTGGGCGTCCTGTTCTCAGTATTGCTTCTTGCCTTGACAATCTAAAATACGTTTTCTCTCCTTATGCCACTCCTATCAGAGATTGGAAATCATCAAGGCTATCCTGATCTTGTTTACAGCTGACCTAAAAAGTTCACTAGTTGTACAGCCAAACCACTCTCTCAAATGACGCAACCATGACATTCTTCTACGGCCTAGATTCCGTTTTCGTTCTATTTTTCCTTGCATTATATTTTGGGTTTTTTTCTGTCCTTCGTATTACTTCAAAGGTTGTAACTCTTTCAACCCAACTTATCTTCAGCATTCGACGGTAGCACCACATCTCGAAACTTTCAATATTTTTTATGTTGTTCTGTTTGAGAATCCAGGCCTCTACACCGTATAATAGCGTGTTAAATACGTAACCCCTTAGCACTCTTACTCGTAGAGGGATGCTTATATCTCTATTGCAAAAGAATTTCCTCATGTTTATGAATGTGGCCCTGGCAATTTCGAAACGTCTTTTTATTTCATTGTTTTGGTCTCTAGTCTCGTGTTTATTGAAGTCCCCAAGTATTTGTAACTTGATACTTTTTTAATTTGAATGCAGTTTATACTAATATATGCTGGTTGTGTCATGTTTTTATTGAAGACCATATACTTGGTTTTTTGATATTAATATTTGCCATAATTGTTGCAGGCAATATTTATATTTGTAAGTAATCTTTGTAATTCTTCTACTGTTCTTGCAACTAGTACAGTTTCGTCTGAGTATCGAATATTATTTACAACCTCTCCATTAATCACGATTCCTTCGTTTGCTTGCAAAAGGGTTTCCCAGCAGATGCTTTCACTATTAACATTAAATAGCAGCGGTGACAAAATGCATCCTTGTCGTACTTCTCTACGTATTTCTATTGCTTGTGATATCCCATTTTTTATTTTGATGTTAGCTTTCTGATTCCAATATAGATTGAGAATTATTCGCATTATCTACATCTTTTCAAAATATGTTTGGTTATGCATAATTCATAGCATTAAATCCTATACCAATTCAAGCATCTTATTGTCTCATAATCCATATTGGATAGATTCCTTTGCCAGATTAACAAATTGTACTTGCTAGTAGGCTAAAACACAAAGTGAACCTATTCTTTCATATTCGTTCAATAATTGCAGGATTCGGATATTGTTTTCTTTGGTAAAGCAATAAACGTGATAGACTTATGACCTAAGTGAGTACATGGAATTTGTTTGAACCTATTATCATCAAAGAGTTCTTGTATACTGTATTTGATCCCTTTGCAAATTTCTTGGCTTTTTATCTGTGATGATGTTCCCCTGTGGATCTCGCAGTTTGCTAGCTATGATGAATTTCTGAAGAACAGGTGCTTTGTTTAACCTGTTGACGCATATTGAACTTATCGTTCTTTTGTTCCAACAAGTCTATATCTTCACACTGTGATTTTAACCAATTGTCTTTGGTCTTTTCTATTTCGGTTACTATTTGTCCCTGAATATTGTTGTACATTCTTTTATAGCCCTTGGATTTTTTTCCATGAGTTGCAGTACATTGTGATTCATTTTTGCTCTACAAATAGTTTTATTCTTTGTCAAATTTTATTGCTCTTCTCTAGACCAAAATTACCAATAAATTCACCGCTCTTTCCATTTCCCACCAATATTCGCATTCACCATAAAAATAGTTACATTTTCTGTCGTTTAAGTGGTGAGGTTAAGTTTACCCCTTTTTCTGATTTATCGCTGATAGGGGCATAGATTTGTAAAACATTTAATTTGACCGGAGTAGTATTCAATTGGATAATTATTATTAATCTATCTGTAATAAATTGGTATAACATTTGTAACATAACGACGTACTTGAAGAGACATGATTATTTTAACCCCAGACATATGTTGACCATCATCATTTCCTGAGTGGTATACCATAATTTGGTTGTCAACAGTACAAGTACCTACCTACCCACCTACCACTATTTGGCCACCTCATTTTGCTTATGCCCATTATAACTATTTCAAGTCTGGTCATTTCTTGAATGGTATTATGAAGTTTTTCATCCCGACACGTTGTATTCACATTCCAAGTACATATTTTAATAATCAACTCTACAGTTCCTAGAGACATTTTCTCATTTATGTCACAGGGTTTTTGCTGGGTTGAGACCTGGAAAGAGCTGTGATCTAAAGGTGGATCACCTCCCCTGTCGAATCTTGGCTTTCGTATTCCATAATTAGTAACACTTTAGTTGTATTTGCCATGATAGTTTTGATCAATAATTTAAGTTGTTATTTAAGTACTGGTTATTTATTTTTTTCAATTAAGTTCAAGAATATCTTAAGACAAGAAGTCTCTTATTGAATCTATATTAAAAATAATGTCCAAAATTATCACCTAGTAGTTCATTAAATATAAAAAAATATATTAAAAAGTTGTAATTTATTATTTTATATATACTTTAAAGTTAATTTATATAATTCTTAACAGGCTTTAATCAGAATATAAATATTCCTTATTTGCCAATTTCTAACATGTCAAAAAGTATCCTAGATCTATTCGAACTATAAAAACTGGCAAAGTGGTTGTTAAACAAGCGGAAAAGCAAAACACAAACTGTTATGTACAGTGTACAGCAAAGGAATTCATACTACCTTTGACGTACAGAAACAACACTCGAATTCGCTAGGAATTTCTTCTATTTTGTCAGCGATTTTTTCAGTCTTCTTCAGCGTATCAGATTTTTTACTCTCGGCCTATAAATATAAATAAAAATGGTTTTCATATAAATCAAAACAAGTATAATATTGGAAAAGATTTTTTAAATAGAGAGTAAAACTTTTTTAATAAAAAAATAATCAGTTAGATAAAAAAATAGCGTACGATCTTTAGTAAAAATAATTTGTAAATATCTGAAATATTCGTTAGTTGCCACCATAAAATTAAAGTACTATTCATTAGTTTATTATACACAATTCGGAAAATTATATAATATATAATGTTTAACAATATATTACGTTTATTTGTTTATTAATTCTTTCAGTCACATCGTCCTCTTACAAGGACACAATCTTGTTAAGCATCATACTGACGACTAGTCGGATTTAACCCTCTGAAATAACATGTTTTCTGTAACAAGACAGTGTATTTACTCATTTGATGGTGCTACGTGCTTGTACCTATGAGCAAACATATTATCAATGTCATAAAGTTGAATATTTCAGTTTCGCGCTAACTGTCTAAACACTTTTCAAATGTGTACAGGTAGAATTAAAATCCGAAATATATATACAATTAGTTTGATTGTAGGTAGAAGCTTAATAATTTATGTTTTTTTATTTAAAAATACACTTAGAGTTCTTATACACTTTTTATGGTTTTATTAACATCAACGTCCTTTAGAAAGGACAATTGTACCTCATGACATAAATTGTGGCACGAATGAAAATATTTGTTCTTACTGGACAAAGCGGTTTAGTAAATGACTTAATAATAATTTATCAAGGAGCAACTACCAAGATAAGTGTGGATTATAGTAAATTTGCTACAGGAGCTTCAATAGTAATGCAGCGAGCTAAGAGAATCACAGAAAAAACCATTGACTGTACTTCGATAATTATTTAAGAATATATAATCTTTTCCAGTTCCTCAATTAAAAAAAATATTTTTGCTGTTGGGTCTGTAATAGCTTACAGGTTTGCTAAACCTACACTATAAACCGGCAAAGATATGAAAAAAGAGGAAAGAGGTATTTGTTATGCAGTTGTAAGTAAAGACGGAGTGGTCATCACGAATGGGTTTAATAATAAACTAGTAATTGTTGCATCTAACTTTTTTGATTTATCACAACTCTGCAATTGCCAAAAAAGGGACAAAAAAATAAACAATATATTGATGTAGTCCAATCTGACGCTATTAGGTCGTTTAACCAAAAACAATGGAGAAGTTGATAAGCTTGATTTTTGCTTGCTATATATAGATCGTACGTTCTACCTAGAAAATTAACTATGATTAAACACACCGGTGATATGGCATAGTCTAATTCCTGTTTAGAGAAAAAAATTCAAAGATAAATGTCAGGAATACCAAAACTGTACATTCTCGATCTCTGAAAATTTCGACAAACTGTTGCAGAATATTCGATACAGCATGAAGAACCACAAAAACGAGGACGTTCATCAAACTAAAATGAATGCAGCGTTTGATCTGTTAAAATTCGACGTGAATCAAATATTTTTACAATAGGGTGGGCCGAAAAAATATTTTTTTATCCGATCGAAACGGGGTAGGTTTCAAAAGTTGCATTTGGGGTCCTAAAAGAAAACTGCAAAATATTTTTTCTGAAAAAAAATCTTCAGTCTACCCATTTGACGTAAAATTTTAGTTTTTTTGGTAAAAAGTAACTTTTTGGAAATCATTTTGTACACATTAAAAAATGAGATAGAATGACCGGATAGCGTTATATATGTTTATTAACACTAATAGAATAACCCCAAATAGTTTCATTTGTCTTATGCAACATCTTCAGTGTGCACAAGTACCACCATTTTGTGTGAAAATTTAATATTTATACCTGTTGCCTTTTCAAAGGGATTAGTCGTAGATATATTTGAAAGATCAAAAATAGTTGCGTTTAAGTTAGGTAAATTACATTATACGTAATTATATGAATATTATTATTATCCCAGATTTAGCCATACGGCTCACACTCCCTCTAAGGGGAAAATTCACTCATCCCAGATACCTACGGTATCAAAAGGATTGAGCTCTGGTGGGACTCTTTCCGTGTTATCGAGCCCTAGGTGACTTGGTATGTTGGAGTATCTCCCAAGAATTTTATTTATTTATTTATTTATTTTATTATTATTATTATTATTATTATTATTAATATAGGTATAGAATTGAAATTAGATAGCGGTTGTCAGTACAGGCTTGTCGAGGCGGTGCGCTTACTCTCCCCACCCCCCTTTCTACCTAAGCAGATACGTTGAGACCTGTACCGTCGAGTCGAGACCTGTCGGCAGCGCCCTACTTCGCACTCTTCGCAGTTCACAGTAGTACATTTGTTTTGCGAAAAGGTTGTGTCTATTTGCAGTGCATTGTGCGAGTGTAGTTCTGTTTTAATTTAAAACCAAAGTAATCTTTTTTAAGTGCTAGGATTAGTTAAGGACCGGTCGTGCGATGGCGTTAAGGACCAGAGATCGTGACAATCGAATTATAGGGAGTGACAAACAATTTAGTGATACAATGTTACCGACCATATTTGATGTTATGAGACACTATAACAATGTGTGGCACGATCTGCAACTTAAGGAAAACGGAAAGAATTCAGATTTCTCTCGCGTAGCTGTACAAACGCTGGATAAAGTTCAATTGATCTGGCGTAAAGCTTCAATCCCCATGAGATCTTACAAAACTATGAGAAATATGTTGAAAAGAAGCTTAGATGAAATGAAAGCTCTGAATAAATCTTTCGAAAGGGATCAGCATAAGCAAACATTTTCTTCTCATCTTAGCAAGTTTTTGGAAAAATCTGGCAAGTTATTTGATGTGTGCGCTTGTAGATACTTAAACTCTTGTAGTTGTGTTCGTAAAAAAAACGTCTCTCTAATAGATACGAGTAAAAAGAAAGTACATGTTTCTTTAAATTAAGTGTTACACAAATTAAAAAAAAAAGAACTAAATTTTCAGAACAAGGAGAGTTTTAGGACAGATTGGTTTTAAGTTTTAAAAGGAAGACAATAGAAAGGCTTTGTGTAAAAGATCTAATGTTGTTCATAAATAAATATAATGTTCCTTTGTTTATTTAGACGAAACATGGCTTCTTGTTGAATGCCTTATAAAACGATATTCGCAGGACAAGAATATAAAATCCATAAAACACATCGATACCGAGGAGAAAACGATATATTATAGTGCATGCAGATAGACAACATGGTTGTATTGATGAAGCCGGTCTTGTGTTTTCATCAAAATCAAAATCAACCAGTTGTCATCAAAATATGAATAAGGAGATGTTTGTGAAATTATTACATTAACCATATGTTATAGTACTGAATAATGCTCCGTACCATTAGGAATTTTTTAATAAGCAACCAACAAACACGTGGACCGTAAATAAAATAAGATAATGGTTAAGGAATGAAAATACTACATTTCCTCAGTATTTTTTTAAGACTCAATTACTAATGTTAGCTTAAAGTCATGTACAACCAAACGTATATAAGTAAACGAAATTATACATAGCCTTGGACATGGTGTGACCTTATTATTGATAATTCAATCCAATTGAGTATATTTGGGAGATATGCAAAGCATTTTACGATAACCATATTAGAGCAAGAGTTACAGTTACGAGGCAGTGTTCCAAATATGGCAGCAAGCATTAATTCTGCCACTCCTAAAAAATTTGGGAAAAAGGTGTTAAAAAATGTGAGTTCTTAATTATTGAAGAATGGTAAATTCGTGAAGGTCGTATCGAAGCAATTAATACCTGTGATAATTTACCACCCGAATAAGGATAAAGACGACAGTAATTATAACTGTGAATCTGATGGTCGTTAATAGTTTTAGATCAGGAGAATGAGATAATTTGTAATTTTGTGTAATTTTTGCATTTCTAATTAAATATTGTACTAAATAAATGTACACAGTTTCATCACTTAAATCCGTACTTTAAAAATTGGGAGAATTTACTATTCTTGATCAGCATATTGGACCACTTAAATCGAAACTTTCATACCGAATTCAAAACACTGGTATATTCATGGAAAAGACTGCATAGATAAAATTTATGACACATATTTAAGGTTCCATCATTAATATCTTTATCTTTGTAATTGGAATATCAAAAATCTGGAAGACATGGCAATTTTGTTTGTTATGCAAGATTTTTGGTAAATATTTTTAGCACTCAGCATAAAAATTCCACAGATCTTCTTTCTATGTTTCTACTTCTTTAAAAACATTCTAAAGTATTTGAAACAAAAAATGTAATAAACTTTAACTAACTATTTAGTATATTTTTAATTGTTACTTGTTGGGCTGTTCAGTGATAACTTTAATAAGCAAAAAAGGTGGAAAATGGTTTATTTCATAAAAAATATAATTTTTCTATATGTATATGGAGAGGTTGGAAAGTGTGTACGAAGAATGGCACTTTTTGACGCTTTCTTTCCCCTGATAAAATATAAAACCTTAAAAGACGTGTAGAGCAATGGTCGATCTCAAATGAAAAAAGAAATGTAATCATCTACTTTCATTTCAACGTCTTCTTTATACACAACGAGTGCAAAAGATGGTGATTTTCAAAAGTAAATTTAGATGTATTCTCAAACAAGAAGTCTCCTGACTGCTCGTTATTTCATATAGAGGTCACGAATAGCTTACTAAGGCATGTTATATTACTGTAACGGCTACATAAATAAAGGCCATATAGATGAATATTCATTTTTACATGACGTTGTCAATACACAAAATATTTGCTATTAACTCACTATATAAACAAAAAGTGGCATATTTTTGAGAACAGTATACAAAACGTCCAAAAACTGTGGCTGGTATCTTTGGAAAAGCCTTTATTTATAACACAACTTAACAGGTCCTCTATATCTTACTACGTTAAAGATATTAAAAATCTCATACTTACAACTCGTTGACATAAGTTCATGGAGCTGTTGTGAAAGGGCGCAAAACGCCAGAAAAATACAATACACACAGAGACTAACTGCCCAGTTTGTTCAAATAGGTCATCTAATATGTGATTTACCTTGTCCTTGATAAAAAAAAAATGCGATCAGTGCTACAATTGAAAAAAGGTCTATGACTAATGTCAGTATAAGTCGTTTAATATTGGCTTATGCTTTCCCTAATTTCCTACTACGCCCCATTTCTAATCTGATTAATAAATGAAGGTGGTATTTTATTATAAAAAGAAAAAAATTAACTTACCGACGGCGATATACACTCCTTGGGAGTACTAGGGATCAGCTGCGTTTCGTCTTGGGCTAGCGGTGCGACACTTGGACCAGTATGTTGGTAGGGATCATCCATCATCATCCCGATCCTCCTCTGGGAAGAAGGGGACCCTGGCATAGGCGGCCCTTCGTTGCTTGGAAGACAAGGCAGAGTGGAAGAATTGCTGCGCCGATGTCGATTTGGAAAGTGCTCGAAATTTCTGTAGCATCCAGTACCGGTCTGGCCCTGGTTGCGACTTCCTGCCAACGATTCGCCTTCCGTGCTGTTGCCGTCAGCGTGAGACATATTGTGGCCTAACGAGACATTTGTCAGGTCTTGTTTGTTTTCTTTTTTTAGTTTTTTGATTTTTCAATGAGACCGGGCCATGCGTGCACTCAACGAGTAGTGGTCAAGGTTCGAGTTCACATACTGGCAGAATATTCTAATATATTGATAAATTTTGTCAAAATAATTGTCCAATTAAAAGTTAACTTAATTTAAATAGAAATTATATGTAGAAAGTAATTGAAATTGTTAATGTATCCTATCGAATTCGTGAAAAATATTCATATTGTTGCGTTTATTGTTATTATTTACACATTATTATTCGTATTTACGTAGAGTCTCTATCACCTTTTCTTAATAATTCCAAATAATTCTCAAATATTGATAAATAAATTTAAAAGGGCCTTGACTGGCCAAAGGGTGCTACAAATTAATGAAAAAAAAAATTCAGGGTTTACGGAAGGTGAGAAATTTGTATGAGGCCACTTAGCAAAAAAGGAATTGGACAAAATGGAATAGGATGTATTGGATACACGAGAAGTAAAAAAGGCGGTGAGATAAAGGTGGAAAGAAGAACTAGGCCTAGCAACAACGTGTAAGCCTCAGAAAGAGAGAAACAACATTTTTGGGAGACTTAGGCAAAACTTGATGATAAAAAAGAGCATCGTGGGATCGGCCAGACTTAATTACAAAAATGATCGAAAATTTAGCATTGTTCAGTTCTAGTAAGAAAACAAATTATTGATTACTAACGCCAGGTTCAAGCTGCCAAAAAAAGGCTTTATATCTGAAAATTCACTAAAAGAAAGTCAATAAAAATACCAAATCAAAATCAAAATAGATTATATTATAATTAATAAAATATTAGAAAAATATCATCAGCTTCAAGGTCTACCCAGGTTATGACATCAGTTCTGACCATAACCTGATATAAATAAAAGTTTGAATAAAACTCAAAAATATGCAGGAAATACAAACCCAAATAAAGTGAACTTAGTTGGCGAGAATGATGTCAAAAAAAAGCAATATTAGAAATATTGCTATTCTAAACTGCGTACAAATGCACTGGAGGCATACCAACTATTATACTAGGAGCAACTTAACGTAAATAAGAAAAAAAAAGCAAAATATTAACAAAAAAACCTTATTAATAAAAATAGCAGAAAAAGAAACCAAAGAACAAATCATACACAAAATAAAACTCAAAATAAAAACAGAGATCAACGAAAAAAGATACTAGCAGAGAAAGTATGGCTACAGGAACAAACAATCTTGAAGGAGAGCGCAAGATCAGAGAACTTCACAGAAAAATTAAGAGTTGACAGGAACTTTAAACCTTAAACACCAAATACTAGTAAAAAATTAATGTATCAAAATAAAAGTCAATTCAAAAAAACCAAAGATTTGAAAATCTTGCAACACTGTTCAAAGATGATAAATCAACAAAATACTCCAGAGCAAATATAATCGATTCGTTGAAGTTATTTGACAAGTAACACAGTCAAATATATTCAACATTTGAGGGATAGATCAGGAATGTTTCTGATTATAAATATAATATTATGAATAAAAGCGAACAGCTTTCAAAAGATTAACATTAACATAATATCCTATACCAAAAAAATTAGACATAATAGTGCAAAAAAAATTATGCCAATAATAGGTATTCCATAAAATCAACAATGTGTGATGAATGACTGAGCAGATCTCATATGCTAATTTAAAAAAAAATACAGTTATTCGAGAAGTAATGAATCTCATATTGATAACAGAGGGGTACTTGGATGTCTAACGCGATTTTTACATCTGTTTTATAGAGAATAGAAAGATATTCGACCGCATTAGCATCATAAACTAATTGATTTGAATTTTCTCTATCTATTGGAACAAACACAGTAAAATTCTTGTACAAAAAGGGTGTATATATGTGAAATTATGAGTTTAATTTCAGTGTATGAGGACTGTTTTACATATTGCTGGTTTAAATATATAGTAAAGGGTTATACAGACAATAGCAAATTAAGTTTATAAAGAGTTTTACCAATATTTCTTCTGCGCATACAATCGCGGTATTGACAGGCTTTCACTCGCGATTGTTCATCGTGCGGGAAGGCTGTTCGGGTTACCGGTTTTTGAATACGTATCTCGCGGTACTAACACTAAGATCATGAGATAGAGTACATTTTGCATCTGTACACGATTTAAACAGTATTTTTGGTATTTTTGCATAACTAAAACGACAGCGTTAGCGACAGTTAACAGTAGAGAGGATACCTATGTTACTTACAATAGTCAACAGAGGAGAGAGAGCGTCTGTCTTCAGCAATTGATAAATGGTAAGAGGGTGCGACCTTTCCTCTCGATAGGCAACGGTGAAAAGAAAGCGACTTCTTGTTTGCTATCGTACAACTACCTGTATTTCTAATGGACTATAATTGAAGAATGGAAATTCCATTCTCCATAAGAATCGAAAATAATTGTAAAATTGTGGTAGAATAGTAGTTAGTAATACAGCGAAAACATGATATGATTTTTCGCATGTAAAAAAAATGAACAATACAGATGAAATATAGATAATATGAACAGATAAAAAACACTAGGCTAAAAACACTAAAAAAAGGCTAGATAATGCCTGGGACAATTATCAAAAAGTTGATATCCCGTTAAGTCTAAAAAAACTGCTGTTATAGTAGATACCGTGTTTGAATAAATTTTATTTATGGTCTAATTCTGACAAAAAGTAACCTAATATCAAGTTATACTGATCTGGTACATCTGTTAGTAGATGAGAAATTTTTAATAAAAACTTCTTACACAACTGAAATTCAAAGATGAAAATCACAAGTCAATAATCAGAGCACAAAGTAGCTACTTTTCACGTATTCTGGAAGTGCTGTAGGGACAAAATAAGAAAGACATTGCCAATGAGAACGTTAAGATTTGTGAAAGATATGTGTGATAGAATAACAATTAGTGTTAAAACCAGTATAGAACATACTGATAAATTTCATGTAACAGTAAGATTACGTCTTGACTCAATGTATGTTTTTAAATACTTTCATTGATATTAGGATAAAGTGGAAGGGAGGAGGAAGGATTTTAAAACAAAAAGTTTAAACCTTAGCAAAACAGTAATAAAGTATGCAGAATCATATCGGTTGTAAAACGTAAATAAAATAAAAAGCGAGCTGGTTAATTTAAATCACTAACTAGGTGATTTGATTTTTTTTGAAAATTCCCAAATAATTGATACTGCGAAGAGATGTGCATAAAAGTTAAGAAAGCTATTGTGACTAGAAGAACTGACTTTATTTATCGAAAAAAATCATTTTTTAAAAGATGAAAATATGGTGCCAAAGAGCAGTACCCATGAATTTACGTTAAATATTATGTCGTTATTGAAACACATTTATGCATTACTCAATATTTTAATACCTATATCTAATTATATAAACAAGTATCAAATGTTAAAATTTAACATAGCTTTCCACATAACTACAGGTCAATATGTCGCCTATCAGCAATGAGCAAAATTGCAGAAAGAATAATAATAAAGAGACGACAATCAAAGTCAGAAATACTAGGAATGATCCCAGAATCGCAGTTCGGATTTAGATTAAGACACTCTTGTGAACTACAAGTGCTGATCTGGTACCTCTAACAGAATACATCACGAAAAGATATAATGAAAGAATGTATACGGCAGCAGCCTTTCTAGACGTCAGCAAGGCCTTTGGCAGAGTCTGGCACGACGGACTGCTCCATAAAATAAATGGAAATGAATATAGTAAGGCAATGAAATGTCTCCTTGCATCATACCTGACAAACCGGAGGTTCAGAGTTCGTATAGGGCCTACCCTATCTGAAGTCGGAACTCTGGAGGCAGGAGTGCCACAAGGAGCGGTGTTATTACCATACCTATATACCATACATATACACAGCAGGCACATTAAACGATTATATAAAAATGCTTAGCCTATACGCAGATGATACGCCTATTGCAACAAGCAATAGAAATCCCGACCATAGAATAAGAGATCTACAAAGATCCTTAAACCGATTGCATGCCTGGTGCATAAAATGGAAGATTGCACTCAGCCCGGAAAAAAACACAGGCCGTCATGTTTAAGAAAAGAAGGACAAGACCCAACATCGAGATAAGATTAGCCAACGAATACATAGAATGGAGCAATCAAGCTAAATATCTGGGAGTAATACTTGATAATAAGCTTACATTCACTGAATATGTGAACCAAGCAGTTTATAAAGCAAAACTAACAAAGACACAATCTTCTCGCTAACAGGCAGGAAGAGCAAATTAAACTTCAATACGAAAATAAGAGTAGCCAGCAGCATAATAAGAAGAAAATACAGGTAGCACAAAATCAACTAATAAGAGATGCACTAAAAGTACCTAAATACGTACCATTAAGATACATATACAAAAATACAAATCGGAAGAAAATTCTGATTTCTCGATGATGAATTCTCGAAATAAGAAACCACCCCAACAGAAAGTTGAGAAAGCTAACAGACTATGATGAAAACATCAGGACGACATACAGGCGGCCTAAACAACAAATAGCTGGATATGTTTCAATAGAATAACGTAATGAAGACTGAGATAGACACAGAATAATCAAAAGCACGCAGAATAAAAGTAGGAAAAAAAAGGGTAAGATCTGGTGCTCTGACATTTTATAGTTCCGAGCATCAGAGAATATTCACCAAAAAATCTACAAAAACCTAACAAAACACCTTCTGTTGCCGCGACAGAACAGTTGCAAGTAGTATTTAAGCATTAATAGTTTCCTGATCCTTAACCCACTACATTGTTGCATGGATCAAACTCTAGCTTGATCCTAGACAACTTGAATATCGAGAGATACTGATGCTGTCGATTCTCTTCATATAGCCAAACTGTTGGCTGTTAGCCCTTATGGCAGGTCTATTGGGAGACCTATTCCGCGAATTCTGAGCATCGAGCTCATGTGCGGCAAGCAAGGGCTCGGTGGCCAGACCCTTTGGG